CACTGATATGAACATAGGGGTGCATCTATCCTTTCTGATTGGTGTTTTGGGTTTCTTAAGATATATTCCTAGAAATGGGATCACTGGGTCAAATGGGAGTTCCATTTTTAATATTTTGAAGAAACTCCATACTGTTTTCCACAGTGGCTGCACCAGTCTGCACTCCCAACCACATCCTCGCCAACACTTGTCTTCATTTATTGATTTGTTGATGGTAGCCATTCTGATAGGTGGGAGGGGATGCCTCATTGTCATTCTAATTTGCATCTCTAAGATGCTTAGTGACTTGGAGCATGTTTTCATATGTCTCTTGGTCTTCTGTATGCCCACTTTGGAGAAGTGTCTATTTAGGTCCTTTGCCCATTCTTTAATTGGAGTGTTTGTCTTCCTTTTGTTGATTTGTACGAGTTTCTTATAAATTTCATTCCATTCACTCACCTGAGCCTGCTCATCTTACCTCAGGCATTTAGGCTCTTCCTTAAGTGATATATCTACCTCCCAAAAGAAATTCAGAAACTAAAGGTATGCATAGACTCAATAATCTAGTTCCATTCCTATATCCATTGATTGCTTGGACCTACGATATCATGTTTACAAACATGTTTTCTCACTTGATCACTTCTTTTTCATCAGCCTTCATACTGAGGGTGCTCCAGTATTATTAAGGAAAGCATTTTATGCTATGGCCTCTGTTATAGTTTTTCAACTGTGCAAATTAAGCTTGTTGTGACAAATACAATGAGCTATTGTGCTTTTTTGTGGAGCTAGAAGTAAAAACTATTAAATGAAACTTGAAATTATGCCTATTGAAATTTAATGAAAACACTCACACACCACACACACACACACACACACACACACACACACACCACTGAAACTTTTATGTCACGTGTCCTGAAAAAAATAATACCTTGAGATTGGTAGCCATATTTGGCTTTTATAATCATATGAACATACATACAGCAGTAATGGACACTCTAGAACTCAGACTACTAAAAATTATTTTTTACTTCTTTAAGTGGAAGAGAGCACACAAATCTTATAGAAGTTTCATTTCTTAATTTCATGTGAATGTTTTGTGCAAGCTTAACTCAGAGTTCAGCTGCCTCTATCTTTGGCTCCAGAGATCACATGGGTAACATGTGAATGGAAATAAAACCTGTAGGTAAAAGAAAGGGGAATTTGGATAGAGATCAAACGTTAGCTTCATTCCATTCTTTTCTTCCACTTTTTTTTACTATCTCATCTAAATTTGGTATTTTATGGGACGTTTTTTAATCCTAAAGGAAAGAGTGAACTTAAGTAAGATTTGGGATTTCCTCTCTCCATTTTTCTTTATATCCATGTGATTTGATCTGCTCGGTCATAACTGAGATCTTTGAATTTGCAATGATCTAAGAATCCTTCAGTAAGAAAGATATGGTATACTGCCTTGATTCATTATTATATATTCTTAAGTTATCACTGTAGCCTGGGTTAGCTTATACGAAATGTTGTCCAGAATATTTATCAATATGATTAGTAGAAATGTTTGGTTACAAGTATTATGAGTATTGTTTGCTTTTTTAATCTTCTAGAGTGGAACAAATTACTAGATACTATTAACCTTGACTTGGGCCAAGAACATTTCTAAACTTTAGGGATCAGAACTTTGCATTACACATTTTCCAAAGGCTTACTGTTCTTTTTATAGAAATCAGACAAGAAAGTGGAGTTTAGTGTAGTCAACCTCATTCCTAAGTGGCTTGTGGAAAAGATTCTTATTGGGATCAAAATGGCATCCATAGGAAATGAAAAATGTTGCAATATTTTACCTCATTTTATATCAATTTTAGAATAATTTTTCCAACTATTTAGAAACATAGGATAATTATAAAGTGACTGTTTTGACTTCATCAAAATAATAGCTAAATGAATATAATCAACACATTACACTGTTTCAAGGTACAGGAAAATGAACTCATCTTGTCCATGGTTAGCCAGATTCAAGTGCCAAATTAGAACTGAAATACTGAACAGTTCTCGCTTATTGGATGGATAGCTCTATGCATTCCAAGGCTTAAGAATGGTATTATTTAACTGTTACAAGATGGAAGCAGCATAGTTGGGTTCGGTGGGGTTTCATTATTTGACAATTTTATTGACTTTTTTTTTAGTTCTCCAAACTCTATTATGAGAATCTTATTTCTTTCTAATAAAAGACCTCAAGACTTAAGAAGAACAGAGTCTTGAAAATAGAAAGATATAAGATATAATCAGCCCGTCCAGCATAGCTCAGTCCTTGAGTATTGACCTATGAACCGGAAGGTCTCGATTCGACTCCCTGTCAGGGGATATACCCAGGTTGTGGGCTCAATCCATCAGTGTGGGGTGTGCAGGAGATACCCAACCAATGATTTCCTCTCATCATTGATGTCTCTCTCCCCCTTCTCTGAAATCAATAAAAATATTTTTAAATAAAATAAAATCTAGACTAATAGAACCTCTTGGATTGAACAATATAATCACTGAAATTAGTATAAATGAAAATATCAGTAAAAGTGTTAGACAGCAGTTCAGACACATCTGGAGAAAAAGTCTGGATGATATATCTGAATCAAAACTACACATAATGCTGAACAGAAAGTCACAGAAAATGTGAAGTAAAAATTAGACATTGAGGATATAATCACAATGATCAGGCATGTCTAATAATAGTTCCAAAATAAGATAATGGAAATAATTAAAACTTTATTCCAATGAATTTGAACACAAATAACAAGCCACAAATTTCTAGAAAAATATAATTTAGGAAAATATTGAAATTTTAGTACTCCTAAAATCCCTAAAGAAATTTTATCAATAGTTAAAAATCTTTCTCAAAAAAAAGAATACAAAACTCTAAAAGTTTTGAAGAAGATTCCTACACAATATTCTAGGGCCATATAATGGAAATAGAGGGCCTCAACCATATTAAAAGTTAATATGAACAATACAAGAATGGAAAATAATAGATTAATACTATTCATGGACATAGGATTGGGGGGGGGGGAAGCATTAGTGAAACAAATCCTTCTGATAATACATCACAACCAAACATTTTAATCCATAAATTCAACTTGGGTTAATATGAGAAATTATAATGCCACTCACAACCCTATAGAATCCTATCCAATAAAGAGGGAATATACTAATTGACCATCACTCCATCACAAAGATGACTGCACCCACAGCTGAGGACAAGTTCCCTTAAGGAGCCTTAATGAGCAATCAGCAGGGACCAGAGGCTATGCCCTCACCCTCTCCTGTGTCAGGCTGGGGGACCTCAGGCCACGCCCTCCACCAGTGGGGCTTGATGGGGACTTCAGGCTGTACCTCCTGCTTTGGCACCAGGCCAGGGAACTCAGGCCACGCCCCCTTCCCAGTGGGGTTTGACAGGGGACCTGAGGCTGAACCCCCCTCCTGATACCCAGCTGGGGGACCTCAGGCCATATCCCCCACCCAGCAGGGCTTGACAGTGGATCTCAGTCCATGTCCCCCACCTTATGAAGCTTTACGGGGGACCTCAAGACATGCCCCCTGCCCCATCTGGGAGACCTGAGGCCCCACGCCCCTGCCTGGTGGAGCTTGACAAGGGTGGGAATGGCCAGGTCTGGATCTAGCCCAATGGAGGGGGGTGGGGCAGGGTTGGATACCATGCGATTTTGAGGCACATGTGGGTGGGCGGAGACTTGACTCTTGGTCCCCCTTTTAATGTGCACGAATTTCATGCACCGGACTACTAGTTACTGAAGAAAAACCATCTTTTTGTACAGAAATAAAATATTTAAAATAAAATATTCAAAGTAGAAATAGAAAAGTCCCTCCTTATACTTAATGAGAACACAGTCACATGTCATTATTCATCGACCCATTTAGCAAATTACACCAAATGTTATGAAGGATGTGTCTAAACTGGAAATCATATATATACTGCTTCAGAGACGGGATTGGTTGAAGCTCTTTGGAAATAATCTGGTATTATTTATCAGATTTTAAGCTGTACAATTTGACTCTACTATTTCACGTGTGCACAGAAGACTTGTATAAGAGTGTGTGTGGAGGCATTCTTTGTATAACAAAACACTAGGATTTGTGATAATAGAAAACTCAAATATCTGTCAACAGGAGAATGGGTAAATAAATTTTTCTATACTTATAAAATGGCCTTCTAGATAGCAAAGAATTATACCTTTATGTATCAGCAGAGATGAGCTTTAAAAAATGTTTTGTGAAAGAGCAAGTTTTAAAAGTATAAAGCCAGTTTTATAAAGTTTAAAAACAAGCAGATTAAACAAAGGAAAGCAATTATAAACACAAACTCAGGATCCTGATTTCAGTGGAAAGTAGGAGGGATGTCATTACAGAGAGGCACACAGGGGCATCAAAATTACTGCTAACAATATGGTCCTTAAATTGGGAGGTTTTGACCAATGTTTGTCATATAATTATACTTCATTACTATATAGATGCTATTTTTGGCATGTATTGACTATTTCAGAATAAAAGAATGTCTATAAAAATCTAATGTGATAGTAATTTGGGGTGATACGTAGAAAACTTCCTTTATAACAAAGATAAAGATAGATGATGAAGAAAGGAATCAAATATCAAGCAAATGGCATTATTTACCATATTAATATTGGCTATATACTGATTTTTTTCATCCAGGTACTTCTAGACTGTGTTTTTCATGTACTGTGCCATGGTGAGAGGCAGAGTGACCTGTACAAATTTTGGCTGTGATACTTCTTAGCTGTTAGGATCTTAAGTTTTGGTTCCCGCGCTTGTAAGAAGAGATAATAATACTACTTAATTTATCAAGTTATATATAATAATACTACTTAATTTATCAAGTGAGCTAGCGCATGGACAGTGCTGAGAACGGACATGTACAGAGTAAATGCTCAATTAATATTAGATTCTAATAGACATCCCCTTTTGATTTACTACTTTGAAATGTTTTCTTTATATTATGGTAGGCTTTGGTCACTTGACGAAGCAATTGATGACATTGGCTGAAGGACATGTGGTGTTGGCTCTAGAAGGAGGACATGATCTCACAGCCATCTGCGATGCATCAGAAGCCTGTGTAAATGCCCTTCTAGGAAATGAGGTAAAAAACAAAAAACACAAAACTAAACTAAACTAAAAGCACAAAAGAGCAGAGGTCAAAGACCAGGAATGTATGCACTCATATTTTTAAGTGGTTTTTTTTTTTGTTATTTTTTTTTTTTTTAATCCTAAGTACTCAGAAAGCACAATGTTTCTCTTACAATTCTAAGAAAGAAGGTAAGCCTTAGGTAAGAGAAGTTTACCTATTCTCATGTGATATGCAACAACTTTTGCCCAGTTATAGAATTCATTTGTATCCCCATCAATCAAGTTATTGGCAGAAATCAATAAATAAGATAACTCTTGGGAGAAGGGTTATCTTATTTATTGATAACCCTTTTTTAGGGTTATCAATAAATAAGAAAAGAGAAATGCTTTGTGTACTTGACCCAACTCATGAACATTGAAACACTGAAAAAGAAATAACTCACTCAAAGAAAATTTCTCTTGACATTTTCAATATGATTATATGGGGGGGAAAGGGTTTTAAAAATGTTTTAGCTTTATTAAGGTATAATGGGAAAATCTGTATTTATTTTAGAGTATACAATGTGGTAATTTGATATACGTATACAATGTGAAATGGTTTCTGCCATTAAGTTAATTTAACACATTATCTCATATGGTTACATTTTGTTTTTTGGGGGGATTTTTGGTAAGAATGCTTTTAAGTTCTACTCTCTTGGCAAATTTCAATTTTACAATACAGTATTATCAACTCTAGTCACCATGTTATACATTAGATCAAGCATGTCAAACTCACGGCCCGTGGGCTGCATGTCTTGTTTATTTGGCCAGTGTTAACCTTTGAATTTGACATGCTTGTATTAGATCCTTAAACCTTATTCACTGTATAACTAAATGTTTAAAACCATTTTTACAGACCTCTTCCTATCTTTACCTGTTTTTTGTTTTTTACCTCATTTCCTTCAACAACACCCCTGTTGCTACCCACCTCTCCCACCCCTGGTGACCATTATTCTACTCTTTGTTTCTATGAGTTTGACTAATTTTCTTTTTTCTTACTTTTTGGTTTCACATAAGTGACACTATGAGGTATATTCGTTAGAATAATGCCTTCAAGATGTTGCAGATAACAAGATTTAATCTATTTTGTTGCAAATCATGAGATTTCCTTTTTTAAGAATAAATAATATTCATATATTTATATATCTACCTATCTATATATATATATATCTATTTTCTTTATCCCTTCATCTGTCAATAGACACTTATGTTGTTTCCATACCTTGATTATATGAATAATGCTGCAATAAACAGGGGAGTACAGGTAGATCTTCAAGATAGTTATTTTATTTCCTTAGATATTACCCAGCAGTGGTATTGCTGAGTCATATGGTAGTTCTATTTTTAATTTTTTGAAGACCCTTCTATTGCTGGATGGTCAATCAATTGTTGAAAGTGGGGTATTAAAGTCCCCTACTAATATTAATATTTTTTCTGTTTCTCCCTTTAGGTATGCTTTATAATATTTGCTTTATAAATTTAGATTCTCCTATGTTGGGCATATAAATATTTATAGTGGTTACATTATCTTGATGAATTGACCACTTAATCATTATTTACTAACTTTTTTGTCTCTAATTATAGTTTTTGGCTTAGAGTACCATTTTTTTCTGGTATACCTAACTCTACTTTCCATTGGCATGGAATTTTCTACGCCTTCACTTTCAGTCTGTGTGTCCTTAAAACTGAAGTGTTTTTCTTGTAGGCAGCATATAGTTAGGTTTTATTTGTTTTATCCATTCAGCCACTCTATGTCTTTTGATTGTAGGAGTTAATCCATTTACATTTAAAGTAGTTATTGATATATATGGGCTTACTATTGCCATCTTGCAGTTTTCTAGCTGTTTTGTAGTTTCCTATTTTCTCTCTTGGTAAATTGATGATTTTCCATATTGGTATGTTTGATTTCGTTTTCTTTATATTTTGTTTAAATACTGTCAGTTTTTGCTTTGTGGTTAGTATGATACTTGCAAAAAATATCTTAAAGATATAATAGTGTTTCTAAAGTTGATATAATCTTAACATTTAATGTGTATAAAAACTACATTTTTTCACTATCCTCCTTCAATTTATGTATTTAAAGTAAAAAATTAAATATTTTATATTGTATATTCATTATTAAGTTTTAGTTATTTTAATACTTTATATCTTAAGTTTACACTAGAGTGAAAAGTTATTTACCTACCACAATTACAGTATTAGAGTATTCTGAATGTAATTATATATTTATCTTTACCAGGGAGGTTTATATTTTTCTAAGTTTTCACATTACTAGTTACCGTCCTTTCATTTTAACTTGAAGAATTCCCAATAGCATTTCTTTTAAGGCCAAATTAATGGGGATGAATTCTTCAGCTTTAGTTTGTCTACAAAACTATTTTTAAGGACAATTTTACTAAGTAGAGTATTCTTGGTTGCCAGTTTTTCCCCACCTCACTTTAAATATATCATCCTACTTCTTACTGATATGCAAATTTCTGCTGAAAAATTCACTCATAATCTTAAAGAGTTTCTCTTACATATAGCAAGTTGCTTTTCTTTTGCTGTCTTAAAGATCCTCTCTTTAACTTTTGACGATTTAATTATAATGTGCCTTGATGCGACTCTGAAAGCTCACCTTAATTGGTAATTTTGGGGTATCCTGGATTGAATGTCTGTTTCATTTCCCAAATCAGGATAGTTTTCTACCATTATTTCTTCAAATAAGCTTTCAGACTCTTCATTTTCTATTCTCCTTGCTTGACCCCTAGACTGTATATGCTGGTCTGCTGTGTGGTGTCCTATAAATCTTTTAAACTATCTTTACTGATTTTCATGTTTTGTGCGTGTGTTTTGTTTTTGTTACTCTAATTTGTTGATTTTCACTGCCCAATGCCCAGTATATTTATTCTTTCTCCCATTTGGTCTAGTTTACTGGTAAATTCTTCTGTTGAATGTTTCAGTTGTTATATTCTCCAGCTCTCTTATTTCTGTTTGATACCTTTTAATATTTTCTACCTCTTTTGTTAAATTCTCTGTTTATGCGTTGTTCTCCTGACCTCAGTGATCATTTTTATGATTGATATTTGAATACTCTGGGGTAAATCAGTTATCTTCATTTCATTAATTTTGGAGGATTTGTCTTGTTTTACTTGGAATATAGTCCCTTGGGTTTTTGTTTGTTTTTTATTTTTCTTGACTCTTTTTGTTGGTTTGTGCACTTTGGCTAAAACAGCCACTTTTCCCAGTCTTGTGTAAAAGATGAATATCATCAATCATCCCAGTGCAAGCTCCTATTTACCACTCAACCCTTTGTGATTGTCCAAGCTACAGTCTTTATTAGTGGCTCCCAGTAGCTGAGTATATGCCAAGAGCTGTCAGTGTCCTTAAGGCGAGGATTACAGCCAGCCCCTGGGTGTAGTCTGACTACAAGCTGGACTCTCTCGATAAAGAAATTGTGAGATGGGCATTTTTGCCTGTTTCTTCTGCACTGTGCCTGGGTGTATAGCCCATGGGGGTTGGGAGGTATGTCTGTGCTGGTTTTAAAATTTCTTTGTTTGCCGTAGTCTTGTGAGACTCATAAGTGCATGCTGTGATATTTGACTATCAGAGCTAAGTTATATGAGGTCCCATCCTTTGGGTAACAGCCATAAAGGTTGGGGTGCTAGATATGTGAGCATCTCATTCCAGATAGATATTGCCGACTTGGTTTTATTGTTGAAGTAAACCAGAAAGAGGTGTCATGAGCTCTTTTAGGCTCTGGGGGAAATCACGGTCAGCACCTTTAAGTGTGCTAATTAGAAGCCAGACTCCTCAGGCAGCAGCTTGTAAAGTATGTACTTCCCTTTCCAGGGAAAGACTAGGAAATGGGTTGCTTTGCTTGCTCCCTCTGCACTGAGCTCTTGGGGGATAGTCATGGCAAGTGCTCACACACCTGTTCAGAACTGTTTGTTTGCTAAAGGCCTGTGGGGACTCATGGACATGAGCTTTTGCAGCCAGATATTTTGAGAGACCATTCTCGGGTAGAAACTTAATATGTAGTATACTAGATGTATGTTCCAAACCCTTCTCTCCTCAGGAAAAAACTAGAAGTTTGGGGTTCCCTTCCAAATGTATAGTGCTGTCTCAAGGATTTGTTTATGGCGAAAGTATGTCTCAGCCTTTGCTACCTTTTTGATGTGGGTATTTTCTCATTCATTAGGTATGCTCAGTATGTAGGCGTTACTCAGCAGCTACATTCTGGATTCTCTCAGAGGGAATTGCTTTATTTATCACTGGATAGTCGGTGCATCTGTGGGAAGAGGAAAATTCGGGAGCTCATCATGTCACTATCTTGGTCTGGAGTCTTTAAAATATTAATAAACATGTTTTGTCACCATTTATGAGTTCTCTAGGCTAAGAGATATTTCCATCTTACAAATGTTAATAATGAGTCAAAAAGATTTAAAAAATTCATTCAACACCATGCAACTAGAATTTATTAGATTCAAGATATTAATTTAATTCTATATTGCCAAAAGCCATTTTTTTCTCTCACAACACATACATATTTTCCTGACTAATCAGCAGACATCAAATTATCATGCGGTTCACTTCTAGATCACAGCAAGCTTTTGGACCAATTAATTGCAATTCTACAAATATTTCAGTTTGTATATATCATTAATTTTAATTCATTTATTTTTATAGTGAATGTATAGAGATATTTTGACTATATATTTTACTTTTTCATGAACTTGAAATGCTACATTTTAATGAAATAAACATATACACAATCATTTTAAAAATCTATGATTTATAATGCTTTTTAACAGCTAATGCTTTGGTCTATCTTATATGATAAAAAGCTAATAGGCACATCAACCAAATGGCAGAACTTCCGGTCGCTATGATGCACACTGACCACCAGGGGGCAAATGCTCAACGCGGGGGCAGATGCTCTGGTGGTCAGTGCACTCCTACAGAGGGAGCCAGAAGCCCTGAGCTGGGCTCATG